TGGCCATAACAGATTTGCTATGCACCACCACCCTTTGAAAAGCTCCCATTTCACTTTGAATGATTTACTTTTCACTAAAAATGTGCTTCTACAAAAATGTCCTGCCAAAATTCTCAAAATGCCAGAGCCAAATTCTCCTACTAACTGCTTCAGCATGTTCACTGCCTCATTTAGAGGGAAGGACAACAAAGCCACTGGAGAATGGTTCATCTGCAGCTCCACAGTCTCTCTGTTGCTCTTTATAGCCTTTGTCAATCTACAGCTCATGCATTCTGGAAACAAAGATTTCTCCCAATAAACATTTTATTTGATAAAAACATCACCCAAGAAGTAACTGAAAACACAGAATGGAGTAGTAAAAAAATACATTTTGAGAGCTAATTTTCTCTAGAAATTCTGGAATAAATCTTTTCACTCTTCATCTCTATTGCAAGACATTACTTCTATTAATTTTTGGTTTTTTGGGGCTTTTTAGTTTGGTTTTTTTGTTTGTTTTTGTGCGTGTGTGTGTCTGTGTGTGTATGTGTGCATAGTAGTTTTGTGCGGTGTTTTTTTTGCTTGCTTGTTTTTGTTTTTTGGGGTGTTTTTTTATGGGTTGGTTGTTTTTTGGTTTTATTTGGTTTTGGGTTGTTTTTGTTTTTGTTTTTGGGTTTTTGGTTTGAGTTTTTTTGAGAGATTAAATTACACAATTTCACCCCAGTAGTTACCTCTCTTCATTCTTAAGGGACCTGTCAGTTTTTTACTTGTCCAATATTTTTGACAGCTAAGACATCTTTTTCCTGAATTTTTGTTAGACATTTAGATATAATCTAGCTATCTACAGGGGGGACCCAAAACAAATGGAGCAAAATAAACCATCTCTTAAACAGTAACACCTGAAAACTGCCTTATAACTAAATCCTATTACCTTTTAGAAATATTAACGCCATGCCACGAATGCCTCACAGTGTTAAGATTTCGCAGAAGTTGTGGATTTTTACTATTGCTGCTCCAAACTTCCTGTCAGAAGTGAAAATAGTTTACACATGCTTTTATTACAGAGGGAAGGTTACAGATGGCACATGACCAAAGAGGAAGTGAGGAGATACCACAAACCAGCTTGAACTCTTCACACAGTAATCTGAAGAAGTTACAGGTAGTGTATTTAATTCCTTCTGTAAATGTGTTTCTGGTGCAACCTGTGTTAATAAACCAGCTATTAACCAGTTGTTAATAAAAGAATTTAGGCATTACATTCACAGATTGACTGCTTTTCTTCTTAGTGCTTGTGTGTAGCAACACATCTCAAGAAGTAGCTGAACTGCATCTCTCTTGCTCTCATTCCAAACTTTTACTGCTTACCATTTTCTTATCTCACTTGTTCTTCCATCCTTCTATCTTCCATTCTTTACCAAATCAGGGAAGTAAATGCTACTGTAACTATTCTGTACATGTTCAATGTAAAACCCATGCAGAGATATTAAAACCAAATATGTTTGGGGAAGGAGTTTCTTCTAACTGGGTCTTTCATGTTACAGGTAATTCCATTATCAACAAGTTTGGAAAATACACATATTATAAAGAATATTCATATATAATAAATATAAAATCCATGGAAACCATATTTTGAGTAAAGCAGGAGAAAAGAGGAGATACAAGAACCAGCAGCATAGGCTATTTTAGATTTCTTCAATTATTATTTCCTTACCTTCATGTATTTTCAAATCACTGACATGGATGTGTTATTATTTGCACACCTTGACATGTTTATTTTTCTAATAATTCTAATTTGAAGTAGTCTGATCATTTTGTTAAACCACAGAATGATAGAATCATAGCAGGGTGTGGTTCAGAAAGGACCATAAAGATGTCCTAGTTTCAACCCCACTCCCATGGGCAGAGACACCTCCCATTAGACAAGATTGCTCACAGCCCCATCCAGGCTGGCCTTTAACAGGGCATCCACAATTTCTGTGGCCAGCCTGTCACAGTGTCTCATCACCCTCAGAACAGAGAATTCTTTCCTAATATGTAATCTAAAAGTACTCTCTTTGGTTTAAAGCCATTTTCCCTTGTGCTATCACTACAGATCTTGGTAAAAAGTCTCTAGCAGTCATTCTTCTAAGCCCCATTTAAATAATGAAAAGATGCAATGTGTTGTCCCTGGAGCCTTCTCTCCTCCAGACTGAACAACCTGAGCTCTTTTAGCCTTTCTCCAACAAGGAGAGGTGCTCCATCCCTCTGATCATTTCTGTGTCCCTCCTTGGACAGTAACAGGTCCATGTCTTGTGCAAGAGACCTCAGAGCTGGATGCAGTGGTCCAGGTGGGGTCTCAGAAGAGCAGAGCAGAGCAGGGGGGCAGGATCACCTTCCTCAGCCTTCTGGTCATGTTTCCCATGCTTTCATACAGCCCAGAATAAATCTGGTTTTCTGGACTGCAAGTGCACACTAATGACTCATATCTTATTTTCCATCCACAATAATCCCATGAAGATATACTAAAATCCATTATTAGTTATTTTATTTTTCTATACTCCTAGGGTTTTAATATAACTTACTGAAAACAAAATGAATTAAAATACATAGACTGTCTTTGAAATAGCACATTAGTGTTCTAAAGTCCAGTAAATAAAATTACTCTTCCCAAGTTTGTGAGTTACCTGTATTTGTTACTCTGTGCAGCTTCTAATGATCTTTAAAGAACATGCTTCTTTAAAAAATGATGCATCATTAAAAATGCATTATTAAAATTATTTAAGATCACTGCTGAAATTTTACAATAAAATTATAAAGAAAATGAAACATTACATGAGCTGCAATAAATGTTTACATAGCAACAAGAGCCTTTGCTAGTGATCACCAAACAGTCAATTGCCACCTGCTTGAGCCAAACGTGTCCATTTGTTTCACTCCAAATAGTGTTCAGGCATTTCAAAAAGTCATGTGAATAATGTAAATACTCAACTCACACTTTAGAGTCATTTATTTACTACTTACAAAACTAAAGGTAGTACAGGGAACTTGCAGAACTGTGGATGGAACGTTTTTCCAACAGTGCGACTTAAATGTTGCGACTTAAATGTTGATGCAGTAAAATAAAGTGAATTCCATCCTCTTTTTGCAAGGGACCAAACCAAAACTAAATTACTGATATACTAAAAATTAAAATTCTACTGCTATAAATATATTTACCATCAATATGTTTCTGCCATTTATTTACCAGAGAGACTAGATTTCATTCCTGTATAGTATTTTTTTAATTTTCTATTTCAAGAGGGAAAACCCCTGATATTGAGGTATAATTACACAGAATTTTTTTAAACCAGCATATTAAGACAGCTCAAATATTATCTCTTTTCCATTCTTTTTGCACCTTTAACAATAAGAGAAATAAACCTGTTCTTCCAGTGAGAAATTTCTGTCACTCAAATTTACTAGAGGGCAGATTAGCTGTGAAAATGTGAAGTGTGAATTTGTGGCATGGTGTAAACTATTATACTCAATTTATATTTTAAAAATATGAGCAACTTGCTACTGCCAAGAAGAAGGGCATCAACTACCTCCAGTCTTAGGGGTTGAATAATTTTTTAATTACTTTTCTCTACTTGTATTAAGACATACTATCCCTGGTCCTTTTATGTAATTTCTATTTCCATTCCCAAAGCCTTCAAAGCATGGCAAATACTCACCTTGTGTGCATCCAGCACAGGGAATGTGCACTGAAGGCAAAGCCCTCAATACATGCTCAGGGAGAGGGGCAGAGCATGCACACACACATCCTTGTAGCAGAACAAACTCATGACCTCGAGTTTGGATGCTGGTTTGGAGGGCTGATAACTGCAAACAATCAAAGGAAACAGGAACACCCTTGGCAGAATGTCCGTGGCTTCAGGCTAAACAAAAGTGAAAATGCTGAGCACATGATTTTGAATTAAAGACATGATTTTGAATTAAACTATGGTTTCCCTCTAAGCATGTGGAGAAGTGAATTTCAGGAGAAATTTGGAGATCAAGGCTACATTATATGTTTGAAATGAAAGTCCAAGGTGGGTGAGGTGTGTGTAGGACTCTGGAGTGGGACTTGCACAGTTTCTGACCTGGTTTCAGTGCTGGTGTGAAAAACGCCAATCACTTGTTTTTAAAGTTTTAAAAGTTTAATAGTAATAAAATGTTTATAAATATAGTAATACAATTACAGTAAAAATAATTTGGACAACTTGAATTAGGACAATATGAGACAATAGAAACAAAGAGTTACGGACGTCTGGGTACTTTTTTCTGGGCAGCACGAGCCCGCAAAAGGACCCCCTTAACAAAGGATTAACCCTTAAAAACAATAGCCTGTTGCATATTCATACACTTCATACCTGATGCATAAATTCTGTTCAAACACGGGATTCTGTCTGGTCAGTGTCAACAACTTCTTCTTAATCTTAACACCGCCTTCGAGGCGGGAAGAAGTCCATTTCTTCGGATAAGAGGGCAATAAATTCTTTTTCTCTGAAAAATTTCAGTGTCTTGTGGCTGCTATCTCGTGCGAGTGCCTCTTTCCTTTCTTAAAAAAAATATCCCACTTACATAGTTCTTATTTTAACTGCAAAAGTTACCTTTTAACTACAAGACTACATTTATCATATTATCAAGATGTTAATACAGCACTACATTAGTAGTCAATACTATTAATCAATACATCAAAATACGTATAGTAAATATCTGCGTAAAGCCATATAATATGCACTTTGCAGCACATATAATATGAGCTGCAAAGAGCCCAATGGACCCATTTTTAGCCCTTTTAAAGACAACTGAAGGCACAAGCAGTCGGTGAGCCGTCCGGGCAGCATCTCACCGCCCGCCTCCCTGCCCGGACGGGGCGTGTGCGGTCTGGGAACCGCAGCACCGGGACACGGGGAAAGTTCTGCGGCCGTAAACTCAGCGGATCGCGCAGCGGGGACAGGCGGAGGGGCCGCGGCTGTTCCTGGGGGCGGGGAGCGCGGCGGAGAAGCGAAAGTGAAGGGAAGGCAGCGCCTTTCCCGGCGGGGCATCCCCGGGGCGGCGGGGCCGGCAGTCCCCGGTGCCCAGCCGTGAGCGCAGCCCCGCTGCCCCGGCCCCGGGCGCGATGCTCTTGTGCTGCATGCCCGGCGTGGCTTTCGTGCCCGCCCTGCTCGTCTGCTGGTCCTCGGCCGCCTTCATTATCTCCTATGTGATCGCCGTGCTGGCGGGGCACGTCGAGCCCTTGGTGCCCTACATCAGGTGAGGCGGGGGAGCTGCGGGGTTTGTGTGTGTGAGAGACCGTGGGAGGTGGCCGGAGGGGCTCCCCGGAGGGAATTTGGGGTCCCCAGGGGCCTCCGTATGACAGAGGGACACGCTGGGCACCCCCGGCACCCATCACCTCTCTAGCACCGCTGGAAGCCACATGAACTGACACTGGAGACACCATGGAAAGAAAGGACACGGAAGTTTTCTGTTGCAGCCAGCGCAGGCCTGATGCTAGAAAAAGTTTACAATTACGTGGTGGAAGTGTAATTTTGTTTGTATAAGTCCAGAACTAGGCCAAAGTGCACCAGACAGTAGACTCAAAGCCCTGTGATGGCTTTTGCAGTAAACACATCCCCACAAACATGCATTTTTTAATATTTCATTATAGGACCAATGAGTTTAAAGACTACCCAAGAGATGCCTGGCATCTTTTTCCTCTAACCTTTTTCATTTAAGTGCAATTCTGTGTAAATCATTCTTTATGCATGGCTCATGTTAACATTTAAATCTAAACTATGAAAATGTTAGTATTTATCTCTCAATAGATTGAAGGTTAGCCAGAAATCCAAGAGTGTGTCTGATTCTCTTGGAAGATCTAAAAAAGGTCATAAAATATATCTTTCTTACCAGAAGATCTAAACAAGGTTATAAAATGTATCTTTCTTACCAGAAGACCTAAACAAGTTTATAAAATACATCTTTCAAGATGTGTGACAGTGTTCACAGGGGTCCAAGGATGAAGGAAGAGATGAGGATCTGACTCCATGTTTCAGAAGGCTTAATTTATTATTTTAGGATATATATCATATTAAAACTATACTAAAAGAATAGAAGAAAGGATTTCATAAGAAGGGTAGCTAAGAATATAAAAGGAAGAATGAATAAGAAAGGTATGTGTCTCAGACAGAGTCTGAGACAGCTGGACTGTGATTTGCCATTAATTAGAAACAATCACATGAAACCAATCACAGATGCACCTGTTGCATTCCACAGCAGCAGATAATCATTGTTTACATTTTATTCTTGAGGCCTCTCAGCTTCTCAGGAGAAAAAATCCTAAGGAAAGGATTTTTCATAAAAGATGTCTGTGACAAAGATGCATCTAGACCTAATTCCTTGAAGGCCTTTTTGGGCATGCAGAATTTCAGAAGACTGCTGACCTGATTGGCACATAGAAGAAAATGTGATTGAAAATTAGGGTTTGTCATCATAGGCAAGAGCAAATGACACCACAACCCACAAGATAGCTGAGCTTCATTGAAATTGAGCCAGAGAAAGCTGGGCTTCATGTTTATATTAGCAAAACTCTCTGCACAAATCTGGAAAGCTCTTGGAAAGTCTTGTTCTTGTACTTGAACAAATACCCTACTGCTCATCCTTGATTGCACACAAAGCTTTACTAACACAAAAGTGCTTGTGATCAGTGCAATTTATCCAGTATTAGCTAACAAAAATTAATCATTTGACATAATTGTACATAGTTTGTGTTCAGAAATATTTTGAGATCCTGTAGGAAGAAATTTGACAAATTATGTTTCTTATGTTGAAGCCATGTCATAGAATAAAATATATGAGAGAGCGGGATGTGGTTTTTTATGTATACTTTTGTTTGCAGTTAAGTTTTTGACAGCCCAGGTACCTTAATTGTGTCATTCTTTCTAAAAGGGAGGGAGCAAACCTTTAAGTCACAACTCTACAACTCTAGGGAATATATCACAGCTGCCACAGTTACATCAACTTAATGGAATATCTCCCATTAAACATTGTTCTTATCCTTTAGCTATGGAATCACCATAAAAGTCCATATGCCCTAAAAACCTAAACAAAACAAAGACAAAAGAGGCTGCACCAGTGATTCCCACTCACATCTCAGTGCCTCTGCATTTACTAGTAAAGCTTTTTAAAAGTCTTGTTTATGTTACATCCTTTTAACACCACATTTGGACTAAGAATATATGTTGACTATTGCTGAAGCACCTGCAACAATTCTAAAGGCATGGGGTCTGAGCATAAGAACTTCATAGAAGATGCATTTGGGAATAATACAAGGTTTTCTTCTTGGTACTCAGGATAATAGTCATACCATATTCACATTCTTAATTTGCAGGTCATTGCTTTAGCCTAAGAATATGAATCATGTGATTGAGAATGTGATTTAGTAAAACTAAGAGTGTTAAAAAAAGAGGAAGAATGTTGCAACCTTTCAGTTGTGCAATATCTTAAAATGAAGGATAAAAATTAAATAGAGCTCGTATGGGGAAATTCCAGTTACACAAAGGAGAAGAATACTGACATACTTGAGTTCAACATTTCTGTAATTCTTACACTCATTCCCCAAGTACTCTGTGTATGCCTTGAAGTAACATTAATTTTATTTGCTTACAATATAGCAGCTGTTAAAGCGAGAGACCACACCTAAATTTGTCTTTGAGGCTGTGCTAATGTCCCATCAAACAAACCATATAAATACAATTCTTGGTAGATAAAATGAATATGATTTTGTGTTTTCTAGCAGCTGAATCCTAAAAGATGATGAGGTTGTGCCAAAATTAGTCCTGTTACTCACACTGCCTAAAATCCAAACCAATTTGGATGTGCTGGGATGGCTGTTTGCTTGTTTGAATTCTCAGTGAAACAGTAAAGGAAATTTTCCTGAAAGTATTTCCTACCAGTTGGTACCTCTGGAGAAATCAGAATCCCTGTAGGTGGAATAGAATCTTCCTATTTTAAAAATTTGGGACTTCAGTTTGAAGAGAAATAGTTTATGATGGCTCTGAAGAAAATTCAATTACGAAGAGTCTTTTGGGCCTAAAATATTTATTCCTGGTCTCCTTCACCTTCTTATCTTTCCACTCTTGAGAAGACTGTTCATTTTTAAAATTTTTCTGCTTGAGATTGGGACACAAATGCTGTCATTTTCATACAGGGTTCCTCATCTTTTCCATGGAGGTTGAGCTCACCTATGCACCAGCTCAAATAAGTGAGCACATTTTTGTTTCAAATATGCCATTTCCTTTTTTATTTTTTGTAAAAATGAGGGGACTGTCACCGATACTTCTTTTGCTAATCTTTTTTTTTTTTTTCAAAGCAGCAGACTTAAAGAAAAATTAATATGAAGTATTCATTTAGCTTTTCTAATGCAAAATATAGCATTAAGAAGATTGTGTCCTTTAAAGTTCAATGCAGTATTTTGTAAATAGATTGTGATTTAATATTCCTGGTATGAATTTTCTTTACAACATAATCTAAGATTGTTAAGTTTAAAAATCCCCAACAGCAAAAATCACCTATAAGCCTTTATCTTGAGAAAATACTTTGTTAAGAAATGGAGTTCAGTGCAATTTCAGGTTATTTGGTTTGCTCCTACAATGTGTTCCAAGAACTTCAAATGGCTTTCTGTGTGTGTGCCAATTCCATTCTCTGCTCACCTAAAGCCCTTCAGAAGCTTTGAAGTGATTACAGTCCTGTGCTTACCACAGAGTGGTTTCTGATTTGAAAAAGTCCTTGAAGATTGTCACAAGTGGTCCACATTTTAAATGTGCTCCTTTGTCGTGTTAATGAAAACACTCCAGAAACAAAAGGAAAAGATGAAGTTCAAGATTAAAAAATGGGCTAAATAAAACACAAATTAAGATGATTTTCAGGTGTGTCAAACAAATAAACAAACAAACAAAAATACTTAGTTTACTCTTTTCATCAATTTCACTGTCAAAGAGAAACAAGATTAATACAGACTACCAGCTGGAGCAAGTCTTCAGAAAGCATTACAACAAGAAAATTCAGGTGAATAGGGATTCCCAATGCCTGACAAGTTGTAAAAACTTGTTGAAAAGCTTGGTTCAAACTTTTGTTGTCTGAGAATTTGGAATCAATCTAGTAAAAAGAAATATATGAATTTTCTCTATTTTTTTCATGAGCTTTTCATAGAAAAAAATCTTACTTTTATCCTAAGCTTCCTCCTGTTTCTGATAAATCATCTTAGCAACTTTTGTTAAACAAATCCTTCTATGACATAGAGGGGTTGGAGAGCAAATACGAATTTCTAAAATAATCAAGTAGTTTAAGATGGTCATACTCTTCTGTCTTGAACTTCACAAAATTACCAAAATCCTTGAGAGTGATTGCTAAAGTAGAGAGTGCTTTCTCTTTTGCGTGTGGAGAGCATTCATGCTGAGGTCATTTTGGCTGTACTCAGTGGTAGCTTCAGAATCTTAGTGCTGAAACCTAATCCAGCCTCACTGCTGGAATGAAGAGTATTCATCTTATTAAATGACATAAAAGATAGCCCTAGCTAGTACCTACTTGTCCCATTATACACAGAATCAACAGAGGTTGGAAAATACCTCTGAGGTTACTGATTCCAACCTGTGACTGAACTCCACTATGTCAACCAGACCATGGCCCTAAGTCCAGGCTTTCCTTTAGCATTTCCAGGGATGGTGACTCTACCACCTCTCTGGGCAGTCCATCCAATGTCTAGCCACCCTTTCTGTGGGGAAATTTTTCCTAACATCCACTTTACATCTTCCCTGGCACAACTTGAGGCCATTTCATCTTGTCCTATTGCTTGTTACCCAGAGGCCAACCTCCACATGGCTACAGCCTCCTTCCAGGCTAAACACCCCTATCTCCCTCCACTGCTCCTTATCAGACTTGTGCTCCACACCCTTCCCCAGCTCTGCTGCCCTTCTCTGGACACACCCCAGCCCCTCAATATCTTCCTTGCAGTGAGGGGCCCAAACTCAAAGAAGCGCTTGAGCTGTGGCCCCACCAGAGCCAAGAACGGAGGGACCGTCGCTGCCCTGCTCCTGCTGGCCACGCTGTGGCTGACACAAGCCAGGATGCCACTGGCCTTCTTGGCCACCTGGGCACACCCTGGCTCATTGTCAGCTGCTGACAACCAGCACCTCCAGGTTCTTTTCTGCTGGACATTGTTGGGGCCGAAGTGTTGGATCCAGGCCTTGGTCTTGCTGAACCTCCTTCCACTCATCTTGGCCCATCAATCCAGCCTGTCCAGATCCCTCTGCAGAGCCTTCCTACCCTCCAGCAGATTGACACTTCCACTCCAAGAGAAAGGTTTGTTCTCAGAATCCTTGCTCAGTGTCCACTGAGTTTTGGCATTAGCTAAAACCCTTATGTGTTCACATATTGTCACAGACATCTTTTATGAAAAATCCTTTCCTTAAGATTTTTCCTTCTGAGAAGCTGTGGGGCCTCAGGAACTAAATGTAAACAATGATTATCTGCTGCTGTGGAATGCAACAGGTGGATCTGTGATTGGTCCATGTGGTTGTTTCTAATTAATGGCCAATCACAGTCAGCTGGCTCGGGTTCTGTCCAAGACACAAGCCTTTGTTATTCATTCTTTCTTTTGCTATTCTTAGCTAGCCTTCTGATTAAATCCTTTCTTCTATTCTTTTAGTATAGTTTTAGTATAATATATATAATATAATAAATCAAGCCTTCTGAAAGATGGAGTCAGATCCTCGTCTCTTCCCTCATCCTGGGACCCCTGTGAACATGGTCACAACATATCTGATAGCAGAATTTTTGGGTGCCTATGTTCAAACACACTATTCTGCCTCTTGATACTGCTCAGCAACTGGAAACTTAGCTCACACTCAAATTACATAAAGATTGAAGAATTATATGTTTTCCATTGGCTTGATCAACAGTACCTGATCAAATACATATCAACTGGTTGTACGTTAAACAAGAAAAAAATGGACATCAGAGAGAAAAAAATAGTAAAAAGAGGTGGCAAGATCATAGTACTGTTCTTTCAACAGAGCACTCACCTTCCAAAGAAGAGTTCTGCTCTTCTATGAGCAGAACATACTCCCAAGGAGCTCACATACTCCCAGGAGTATGTCCATTCTGTGAGGAAAGGGCATTTTCTGGGATGGGTGTTTGCACTTATGTAGGGAAAAGAGGGGAAAGAACTCTGTGGTGAAGGTGTTCCATTTTCTACAAAATAAATATTTTGTGTACTTTATGTCTTTCATTTATACAGATGTGCATATAGATATGTATTTAAATTCTGTAGATATCCTCACACCCTTGCTCCCTCTCTCTGTCCCAGTGAACTTCTAATTAAAGGGGAAGTGTTTCATCAGAAGAGACTTACAACAGCTTGGAGATAGAGTACTCTTAAGCTGTATCTACATTAGTAAATTAAACAGTTCCTAGGAACATTCCTGGGCATGGAACACAATTTCTCTCATAGGGTCAAGTCCTTTTAAAGAAATTAAACCAAATTCTCTCACTATCTTAAGATAGTAGATTACTACTATTATATATATTTTACTCTATCACAGTGTTAATTCAGCAGATAAAAGAAACATTAATTCTGAAATGTTATTTATGTAATTATGTCATTCATGAGCAAAGTACAGGTCTGTCACATCTTTGCATATTGCATACAGAAAAAGAAGAAATACAATTCAAAGCATATACTCTTACAATATGCTTTCTTTTTGAAAAGAGGGGTTCTCTACTACAAATGGTGCAGCAGAAGGTGAATTACCTTATACACACAGAAGAGGTTCTACTTCTCATGGGATTTCAATTGTCTCATTTATGTTTCACAGGTCTCAATTAACTTTTAATTTGTCTCTCTTCCTGCTTTAGTGACACTGGAACTAAACCTCCTGAGAGCGGCGTCTTTGGTTTTATGATTAATATTTCAGCACTTCTAGGTATGTATAAGGTATTTGGGTTGAACAGAATGAAGAAATGAGAATTAGTGAAAAATTAGTGCCTGCTTTAATTACAGAGCTGTATTTAGTATTCTGCAGAAAAACTTCTCTGCAGTCAAATGGTAATATCAGATGGATGTAAGTAATACCTGGAGTGTTGGGTCCTTAGGACCAGTTAGTGCAGGCTCAGAGGCACTTGTGTCTCTTCAGAGCACCTTATCAAAGTAGACAGCACACTGGAAATAAAAGTGAGCAAAGGTGGCATAATTACTCTTCAAAAACTCTGCTGCAGGGAAACTTCAGGTTCTGAGATGCTGCAGTAAAGGGAAGAACAGTGTTGAAGCAACACCTGGTTTTCTCCTCAGTGTGCCTCCTTCTCTACAAAATAACGGATGTGAATCATGAAGTTTGGCATTTTCTATTACCTTTCAGAGGATGGAGGATCAAGAGCTGTGTATCTCTGTATGATGGCCTTAAAGCAAAGTAAACATATTTTACCTTTTACGAGAGCCTCGTTCAGTCACAGTCTTGTAGTGTTTCATGTAACCTCATAGTGCCTGGGCAAAGTTACCTGATTTCTTTTTCCAGCTGTTGATAGGCTGAAACTGTGCTCTGTGTTATGGAACTGTGGAATTCAGTCTACAGCTTATTACATCCTGAAGAACCATGATGTCCTAATTCAGTACAGGTGTTTGCCAGGAGTGAACTGCATTTTATGCAGTGACTCTACAAAAAGGAATTAATTCTTCAGACCATCCTTCAGAAGGAGATGTAGTTCTGGCACAAGACTGCATCTCAGAGCAGAATAAGGCCTCCCACTTGCAGTTTATGGTTCTTATCTCCCTGTAACATCTGTTCCTAATGTGGAATGGCAATGCCTCTGTGCCCAAAACACCCAGAGGATTGGGATTTAAATTTGTGCTTTTCTTGAACTGATGTGCATTCAGTTCTAGATAGAAATAATATGCAATTTTAAGACAAAAATAATGAAGTTCCACCTGAAAGTTCATCTGAATTAACTTCTTCATTCCAGCAGAGTTAAAGATGGTATTATTTATTGTGTTATGTTTATAATTTTGTTCTGCATATCATGTATTACAGGAAAAGTTTGTTAAAATGTAATCAGTATGTGATCATTGAACAAAACTTTTTTTTGTTTTGCTTTTTTCAGCTTCAATTACAATGTACATCAGATATTTATTGATAGAGAAGCAAAATGAATCATCACACTTTGTTAAGTCTTCATGCAATATGTTTACATTATGTGTGGGATTGATGGGCTGCACTGGAATGGGCATAGTTGCAACTTTTCAGGTATGATCATAAATTTCATAACAAAAATGGAAATAAAATAAGATTGCTTTACCATTAAAATTTAAACTAGATAACAGTGATTAACATTTTCCCCATGTGGACCCTTGGAAAATGGAATAAGAATGCCTTTCCTGCTCTTGCCTTTTTTCAGTAACTTTTCAGAAATAGACTTGTTTCCTCCCTATACAACAGAATTTTTGCTTGTGCAGTTATGCCATTGAGGAGTTTTCTGTGTGCTTGTCTTGGAACATGTCTGTACTATATGGATTTTTCTGCTGTAAATTTTTTTCTGTGAGAACTTGAATGTAAAAAACTTTGCTATTCCAAGTTTAGTTTGCTTATAATCAGGTAGGGCAGAATAAATCAGACTAACAAAAGCATCAGCATTTTTGGCTGAATGATGGCATACTCACCAGGAGAATTTTCTACAAAATAAATTAATCTTATCTGACAGGTTAGAAAATTGGGCACAATATCAGCCTGTTAAACTTTTGAGTGTGTAGGAAATGGCATAACAACATGTTTTATCTTTTGATAGAGACATGTAGAACTACTGCTTACTTTGCCAGAAGTAAGGATCTCATTACAAACCAAAGTTCCCCCACTCAATGTCTGAAAGAAAATTCAATAGGGAGAAAAAATACTGAAGAAAAATATTGATTTCACCTTTTCTAGTGAGGAAGTATAATAAGGTAGATTCTGACACAAATATTAGGGCAATTGCACTGAAAGCTTCAGCCTAGAATCACGTTAAATTTAATTGGCAGGTTTGAGATATTGCCTTAAAATCTGTGGAAACAGCTGCATTATTTCTTTTAAAGGTGGTCTACCTTGGACCATTTTGTTAAATACAATTGTGCTTATATAGTGACATGATGACATACACAGAAATTGAAAATAAAGGTTGTTGGGCCTTCAACAGCCAGTACAGTTTTACATGTAATGGAAATAGTGTTTTCAGACAAAAAACCCCTTGCCTTAGGATGATAACTCACCCTTTTTAGCTTTGCATCCAGGCAGTGTGTGTGGATTGCAAACACCAGAGGTACTGTAGTCTATTCTAATCATATTTTACTCTAAAATATCCCTGTTCTTATTGATAAGATTTATAGGTGGCACAAAAAAATTGTTGGATGATGCCTGACTGAAATAGAAACCAAATTCAGCTTCCACAGGGAGAAGACAAATCAGTAATGCAAAATAATTTATGAATGGTGTAGTCTCTGTATGTTGCTTCTATAGAATATCTCAAAAGTTGTGTCAGTGCTTTGTGTTTTCAGTAGTCTTCCTTTTAGGCATCTCCTTCCTAAAAGGAAGATGATGGATGGGATGCAGAAACTATGATCCTAATGTTTCCAAAGGGATTCCTTGACAGTTATAACACTGGTTCTTATCTAATCTCTGTTGTGTCTCATTGCCAGTCCATAAACTCCTTCCTCACTTAATTTCTATTTCCTCTGCTTTGAGCCTGCTTTCCATGTTAAGGGCAGTTTGTAGAAAGGGTTCTGAGCATAATAAGGATCTAATCTAGCTAATAAGCATCTGATCTAGCAGATTTTCAAGCATCCTTAATTGCCCAAGAAGCTGGAAATGGTGGCTTGCAAGCCTTCAGTCTTTTCACTGTATATGCACAACAAGTGAACAGTTCATTCTGATCCCTATTTCCCGATAGAATAACTGAAACATGAACAGGATGTGAGATTTGCTCATGGTCAGGTGATGTTTCAAGTCAGGAGACCAAACCAAAGCTGGAATTCGAAATTATTCCCTTAGTACTCAGTCTAGTTCCTCCAATCAGTGTGTCATGCAGAGAATTTACATTCATGTGCTCTACCTGCCAGTTTCTTCAGGTCACAGCAGCTAACCATTGTGCTGATTCCCTTTCCAGGAGCTGGCTGTTCCCAGTGTCCATGACATAGGAGCTCTGGTGGCCTTTGGCTCGGGTGTTGTGTACATCACACTTCAGTCTATAATCTCCTACAAGTCCTGCCCACGATGGAACACTTACTTTGTGTGCCACATAAGGATGGCCATTTCTGCCATATCATGCATTGCTTTCATTCCCAGTATCCTTTACGGTGCATCACGTGGTTTTCCCTTTATGTGTTCATGCCTTTCCTTTCAAATTAAATCACTGCTGATAAAAAATAAAAACGAGGTCACACTCTTTACTTAGGGCTCTCTAATGTGTACAATACAGCACGTTGAGACACTATCAATAGCATAAAGATGAGTTTTGGGAGCTTCTAAAAAGTTTTATCTTCTATGTCAGTGGTAGTTTTAAAACCAATGTCCCAGTGTTTTTCACAGAATCACGTGAAACCTAAGTTTGGAGTGTCTCCCTTACTGTCTATACTTTAAAAGAACCTACAGAACCCTTAATTTGTACAGAAATGTGTTTTGATTGCTATTACCACCTGCCTTGTAATAAGGTGACTCATTTAATTATGTTCTTAATACCTTGATTTGATATTCTGGCTGTTCAGGGTCTCCTGTGCTACAGAAGGGGTAGATTGCCTGAGTTTTGGTTGTTGTTTTTTTTTTAAGCAGACATTTTCATTTTTACTCACTGATATTGCATAGTTTCCTTTACACTCTTCCCAGTGATTGTGTTTGCTTCAAAAATTTCCATGACAAAAATTGATTGGACTCCAGGTGAAAAGGTAAAATCTTACTAGGTAGCCAACTTACCTTGTGTGATATTATTTGGGAAATGCTGTTATATTTATCTTAATGCAATACAAACATGACAGAGACTTCAAATAGCACATTATCATGAACAGATCTGTGCAATGCTGGTTTCCAGTCACTTCTTCATTAGGAAGATGTCTGCGGTGTGGGTAAGAAAATTTGTCATAGCTGATCAATTTTGAAAGAGTTAGACTTTCATTTTGACCAGCAACTTGAGAGTTTCCCATAGAAAAAACTACCAAAAAAAATTTCTGGTAATTAGTTCTACTTCCTTTTATAGTCAATTTTCTTGAAAATTAACTTTTCACATGAAACAAAAAGTGGACCAATTTAATTCTTTAGTTTTTGAGGTTTTTTTTCTCAGCTTTTTTATTATTCTTTATTAAATAATCTTTGATACTGTCATAAATATTTGGACTCTGACCTAAAATATCCTAAAGTTAATTTTAGGTATTTGAATTCATTTCAGTGTTTTCAGAATGGCAACTGTTAAAACTAATTTTGCTTTTTGGGCCAATTTTGCTAAAAGGAGGCATTGAAATAAAAGAAGGTTAAATAATGCAGAGAGTATACCCTGCTTGAAGTCCTTAATAAGAGCACAATTAGCAATTGTACCACAACCAAACAGTGGCAAGGCAGCTGTGAGATAAATCTTTGCAAATTAGACAATCTTAGTCATATCTTTGGGGGTTTTGTGGGTTTTTATGTGATGCAAAGATGAAAACATAATGTTACTGAAACAGATGGCGTATTTGGTGATGGCATGTTAAGAAACACTTTGCTTTCTGTTTGTGTCATGTGACACTGGTTTACAATAACAGTTTAAAACAAAAGTCTTGTCAGGAACTGTCACTGAGGGTGGCTCTCCATTTCAAAACATGGTAAGGACTTGGTCAGAATTACTGAGCTCATTGGCTCTGAGTGAAGGCTTGGAGCATGGGCACATCAGTAATCCTAACATATTAACAATGTTTTCAAGTTTATATTACATTCAATCTCTCTTTATACTGTGCAATTGTAGGCAGTTGTATACTGCCTTTGATGGTACTGCACAAGACTTAATGTAACACATGCACCTTGATAAATTTACTCACCATTCTGGAAAAACAAAATGTGAATTGACTTCTATACAACAGGGATGACCAGTCATAAATCTTACTTGTTGAATTTACTGAAGGAAATGTCTATATCATTTCACCCACATTTTATTTATATAAAACAATAAATTAATAAATTAATAAATTAATTTAATTTAATAATAATTTAATTATTATTACAAATACTGACAAATAATATACATATAAATATATAAATGTATTTATAAATAATATAATAGTTTTATTTGTTTATTTATTTGTTTATTTATTTAATTAATTTATTAATTTATTAATCTGAAAATTTGTTATCTATCTCATTCCATCAGGATTATACTTACCATTTTATGAGTGCAATCTGTGAATGGACAGTGGCCTTTGGTTTCATCTTCTTCTTTTTAACATTCATTAGAGATTTTCAGGTTGGTATCTTCATATTTTAGCAGTGACTAAGTGCTGTGAATTATATAACAATGTAATAGAAAATTACCATTCTTTACCTAGATAGATGCATCAAAACTAATCAGAAACAAATATTACCAAGCACAGAAATGATCTCTGTCTACATAAGGAATATTCTCCCCCTTGATTATTAAACATAAAATTCAGTTTAATAGTTCAATGTGTTTGATCTTGAAAATTAATAGCAGTCAATTATTACCACTCTTTTTGTAGAAAGAGGCCCTCTAAAGGTGACATAATAACAAAATAAATGATGCAACTAAAACTTAATTTTTTTCTGCCTGAGGGATTTTATATAATAATCCAATCATTGATGTTTTGCACATTTTGCTCTATGTTTCCTCACAGTGCAAAAAAATATGAAATAATTTTTGGAAAAGTATTAACACAAAACCCTCTTGGTTTGAGTAGCTGGATTCAGAGTTAATATATATTTTGCTAACCAATAGCAAACATTTCCATGTCTGTTTAGTTTTGACTTAGTACTGAATAGACCATGGCTATATGGCGTCTCCTTAATTAAAAACAAAAAATAAAAATAATAAAATAAAATAAGCTAGGTTCACCAGAAAAAAACACTTCTTTCAGAAAAAAATTTTGTTCCAAATTACACAACACATGATCTTAAAGGTTTATAATTGCCTTCTATAACTGATAGAATTATTGAAGAGCCATTCCAAAATGTCTGTATCACTTAATGCATGTGGGGGGAGGTATTTATTGCCAGTCCATCACTTTCTGATATCTGCCTATATGATGGTATCTCTTTCATCAAAGGTCAGACTCTTCCCTTGGAGACAGAGATTTGCAGGACAATGCAGCAATTCTCAGCATATTTATCAACAATCCTTAGTTGAGAATTCTGCTTCAGACACATAAAAAACTTTTACTAAATATAAATATTATGAAAATAAGAGAAAGTTATGAAATTAAACAAAATGGAATTGTGGCCATTTTAAATTACAGGCTATGAAATTAATCCAATGTTAGTGTTTTACAATGACAGAAAGATTTTTTAGATTCTTTTTGTCATAACCAGTGCTCAGAGAAAACCAAATTATTAATTTGGTAAAACAGTCCTGCCACACTCAAAGAAAAATAAGATTTTTCCTAATTTTCCCCCAGTATTTATTTCACTTTAACACTTTTTTCTTTTGTGTTGTTTCATCTCCTTGTACTTTATATCACAGAACTGTAAAACTAAATTATCCTAAGCTGATCTTGCTTTGTTTTTCTTTTAGAGATTTTCTTTAAGGATATCAACAGAAATACATGAAGAATCCTGATAGTGAAAGAACAATATTTTATATCTATGAATATTCTAGGTTTCTTTTTACTTATAGAAAAAGTAGAAGATGCACAAGGATTGATGAGGTTGTATTAAGAGTCCATGCCATTAACTCTGCACCAGCAACCACTAAAAGATTTTAAAAACTTGGAGCAAGGTTCCTCCTGACTTTTTGCAATATTTTGTAATTTTTATATGGTTTGGTATATTAAAAATACTGTAATAAAAGCAATATCTAGAAGCACCAGAAAATCACTCAAGGACTTGATCTCCTCAGCTCTTCCATTTAGGACATATCTGTACTTTTAAATTTGCTTTAGTGTGATCAGTGGCATTAGTTTTAAACTTGAGAAAGGACATTTTGCAAAGAGAGAAGTGTAAAGGAAATGAATTGGACTATGACTGAATTCCTACTCTGCTAAGTTGCAAGGGCTGGAGAAGATGGTGAGAGCAAGAGTGGGCATCTTTGTTTGAAGAAATTTTAGTAGATGGCAACACTATGCTACATATTTCTGATACTGGGCACTGCAATGCAAATGCAAATCCTAAGAGAAATTTAAACTATAATGCTTGAAAAATGTTTTCTAATCATCACTGCAGTACATGTTGTAAAAATCCACCCCTTTTTCCCTTTTATGCACTGATGGCCACAGAAAACAAAAGATGGAAGTGGGAATAGAAAGTAAATTTACATTTAAGCATGATGTAATAAACAGAACTCTTATTGCATTTTCATTAATATAAAGCAGAATTTTCCAGCCTGTGGTTTAATCTACAATGGAGTGAAGAGGGTGTCAAAAAAAGTATTGGGAATGAAAGGAAAATAAGAAGAAGCAGTAGTTTTCAGGTACTTAGAAATAAATGTATTAGTATTAGATACATAAAAGTAAATTTAAAAACAAACCTGGAGAGCATCTGGAATGAGGATATTTGCTGCTATAGACTTTCTTCTGCAATGAAAGACATGGAAAGGAACTAGTTGAGAAGTCAGATGTTACAAGTATCTGCAGGCAAAATGTTCCTTCATGTACTGATTCACCACCTCCATTCAGTGCAATAATCACTTGGTTGTGAGTTACGCTCTCTGAAAATGACATTTTCCACACTCTATCACAGTTTATGCAGAAATATTGATGATTTTCAGTTGCTAATATCCACTAACTCATGTGTGTTTGGAGAGTGATGTTTTGAAATTAGTCATTTGTTAATATTTCTTTTAATGTGTATTTTAAACTATTAAATTCAGCTGTTTCACAACTTTAAGAGTTGATGTTTTGTTTATAAATTCTTCCACATAAAAACAGTAAAAGTGTTTGTTCTTCACTGGAAGATTTGCTTTCCATATTATTCAGGTTATCTTGCAGAGGTTTATAGCTACAACCAAGTTTAAAATCAAATCTAGTACTGATAAAGGAAGGACCTTATGTCTTGCTGATTTGCTATCTTGTAAGGGACACACATTCCTTCAAGTGAAGATCATAAAGGAAATGTGTATCAACCACAAAAAGTGACATCATGTTATTTTCAAGGCTCTGTTAAGAAAAGATTATGTTTCCTAGTGCATTGTGTATTGATTCTTTTATTGCTTTTTATTCTTAGCTTTCACAAAGTAAAGTATAAGAAGCAAGAAGTTGTTATTTTAAATGATAGCCAGCCTTTACAGTGCTTACAGTATCCTACAGGGAAGAAAAAAAAAATTCAGAGAAAGTGGCTGAATCAGGATCACCTTAGCCCCTGAAGTCAAGAGGTAAATTCAACTACTGAATTAAATCATTCCCATTTTCTTGAGCTTTATTGTGATACATTTTTAATATGTGTTATATTCATGACCAAAAGAATGCACCAATAGTGCACTTTTTATTAAATCTGTTAGGCCTAGGACCTCAACTTGCATTGATATGCAGATAGAAGTACTGCACATTTTATTTGTGCAGTGAAGAACTATTGAAAACACTTTGATTATTCTCTGGTTGCAAGCAGATTTTCAGTCAATTATTTTTTTCAGCTGAAATGTGTGTTGAAAAGTTGCAAGCAATTGCCAAAATAATATTCTAGCAAGGTATAATTTAGCTGTGGCTGACTCTTGTTAAATGCTGCATTTTAAGATTTACAGGCCAGTGATCTCTAGAGGTTAGCACAGATAATGTCACAGCACATTTCTGTTGCTCTGCTATGGGCCCTTTTTTCTATATTTTTATATTTCTTAGCAACAAGAAATAGCTTTTTTTTTTGTTGGAAGCTATGCTAGAAATATTTTCATCATCTACTCTGCATGATGTTCTCTATTTGTCAGCCCATCAGGAGTGATTGAGAAATTCCTTTTGCATAAACTCCAGTAAATCACATGATACTTGCTGTTATTTTTAGTGGTTATGCTAAATCATTCTACTGCTTCCAGAAGTGCAAAAGCTGATTTTTCTAGGTTGTGCAGCTTGATCTGCAGATGAAATAACACTGTTGTGTTATATCTGCAGATATACCACTGTTGTGGTCTCTGTCACAGTTCCAGATCATGTAAGGATTAAATTCTACCAACTCAAAATACCTAAAACCCCCTTTTTCTTAGGACACTGTTACTTGCTCTGCTTTGCCTTCAAGTGTGCACTAAGCTAGTGATGACCTTATCATTGGCTCTTCTCATAAGTCAAACTAAATTTTAATTTCTGGCCTGCTCAGTTTGCATGCTGCCTTACCTGTGACAGCAACATCTGTTTGACAGTAGTACAATAATCTTGATGGCAAGGCATTTATTTCTTGATCTTAATACTGGTAGCAAAACTTCCAAGCAGATTAGAGGGATTATGGCAACACTTCAGAGAATTTTGGACATTCCAGCATGAATTTTGTAAAGAGGTTCAAGAGTTTGGTGTTTTAAACTCCTCTGCAAATACAGTCTTAGCCTCAATATTGACCACATTCTCACAAGCCTTCAGGCTTTAGAGCATCTGTTTGAAGATTGCAGAGGTGTCAGGTTGGCTCCCAATGGTTTGCAATGTCCACTGGAAATATTGTCTCTGGAAGAGGCTGGAAGAGCTGCTCTCCTCCAAGAAGCAGTGAAAGGCATCATGGTCCGTGTATTTTAAGAAGGGATAATATGTGTTTCCTTGGAAGATGAGTTAATATCCATTTATTTGGGAGAAATGTGGGCAAGTAGCAATAGGCTTTAATGTATAAAATCTCTGTAGTTTTGACTAAAAACTGTCAGAGCTGTGTCTGTCTTTCAGTGCATTTGTGTGAGTGCCAGTGCCCATATGGTCACACCTGCAGACACAAGCAGTCCTGGCATGATGAGGCCTGGCAGTAGTTGCAATACACAGAAATAAACATACATGCTGCATTTTATAAACAATCACAGTGATTTAATGAGCTTTGGCTATATCTTGGATTGGTAATAAAATTTAGAAAGTGTCTTTCTCCCATCTTAAGGAGAAATTAGGCAAGTGCTACATGTGGTATCTGTATTTTTCCCCGTACACAATAGATGGCACTAGCAGCCCACATGATTTGGGTTTATTTCCCACGTTCAGGCAAGCAAGTGCAGTAGTTTTGTAGGTAGCTTCAGCTGATTTTAATAGTCGTCTGGAGGCCCAGTTAAATGAGTTTTGTATTGTGCCTTTGTGGAAAACAAGTCAGATCTAAGTTTCTTTGCCATCCCTTCCTGCCTTCATCTAAGTAAATATGTTTTGCTACTGCCATGTGTAGTCTCACAATTTGTCCAAGTCAAAGGAGCCACTTGCTGCAGTTGTCTCTGGCACATGCTGACATCCAGCTCTCATTGCCACACCACTTCTCCTGGGAAGCTTTTCCTACCCTATCACAAAGAAGGTACATTTCACTCAGTTGCTTCAGTAGAATCCTGCTAGTTTGCAGTTGGGCTTTAGAAAACAATATAGACTTTGTTTTCATGAGACAACAATATAGAAAGAACAGGAGTTTAACATTTCAAAATTGCAGCCAGTCTGCATCCAGAAAAAGTGACATGCCTGGTTGTAAAAAAATTCAACAGTAGCTTCTATATCTATTTAAAAATGCACTTTGTATGTAAAATGTCTTTTTCCAGTTATTTCCATGCCTGACAAAATAGTTAGCTTTGTCTTCTAGGAAGTGTAGCAATAATGCAGGCTTGAAAACATTATCTTACCTGGAATGATACAAGTTTAGCATTCACAGTCCTAAATAAACCATGCTGAGCAGCATGGATGTTTCTCTAGAAACTCCCACCAAATTTTGTATGGATTTAAAAAAAAAAAAGTATAGAAAGTACTCTGACAAAGTATGGGTGATTCATTATTGATAGAAATTTTTAGAAGAACTTACTCCACCAGCACTCTCCCAAAGCACACTCATAAAATTCATTATAGGTACATTTCAAAGAAGATTTCTCTGATGAATATTTAGACTTCCATCATGAGACCTGCAGGAACATTCTCTGTTGCTCTGCTTCTATTAGAGATGTTAACAGCTGATGGATCTCCATGCAAAGAGGTGTCTTTCCTTCCTCTCACACTGCATCAGGTGGCTGAAACATTAGATGGTTTGCAGGGAGGTTTTTCTTCTGGTTTGAATAATTCAAGAGGATTTTTTTGATAATAAAATAATTTGTGGGCATTTTTCCATTTAAAAATTATAAACAGAACTTTGCGCTCATTTGAAGTTTCAACAGGATTACACATAAAATCTTGTCTACTACTTAGAAAGGATTTTGACATAGGTCTTGCTCATCAGGCAAAAATGTTATGTTCAGAAATTCCAACAGACGAAATATCCCTCTTTTCTTATCTATTAGCCTTTTAGATCTATTTAGTCTTTGATGATACAAATTCAAAAGGAGATAAGAACCTTCACTTGAAGGAAAAGTGATCTTGATTTTAACCAACTAAAATCAAATTACAAGACTTCTACTGACTTTAAATGTTGGTATTTCTTCCTCTGCTGAGCAAGTGCATATGTTGTTCACAGAGCCTGGGGATGTTTCCTGGATAGATTCTGGTGTCAGCAGAATAATCTCAGGGATGAATTTGGAAAACAAGTTATCTCCCTGCAAGCAGCTTAAAGGAGACATCAAGCTCTAAGAGTCTGCTTGCTCTGCCTCTGCTCCTTAAACCCAGCTTGTTTTTTTTACTGAAGAAACACAAATTGAGAGTTCAAAGTGAAGCATTTAGACCTGAGTTCTCAGAACCAATATCACAAGTACAACAGGATATAGTTCTGATTAAGCCTCTGAGGACATCTAATTTGAAATTCAGTGTAACTGTGTGAAGATGGAACTGTGACAAGGTCTGAGACATCCCCAACTAGCTGTAAGAGTCTAAGAAGCAAGTGAGGAAGCAGGATCCAAGCTTCAGCAAGCACTTGTTTTCTCAGGATTGTGGAAGCTTTCCATTGGCTTGGCTTCCTCTGGGTTTTGGGGGCACGGAGATGGCGCCATTTCTTATTTCTCCCTTTGTCCTCTGTCCTTCTGTGTTACCTAATACTCAATTCACACAAATTGTGTTGGCAAACAGCTCTCCCAGCATGTTAGTATTAGGATGTGGTTTCTGTGATTCTGTTCCAGAAATCATCTTTCTTCATGACAGTCAACAAATTAGCCTTGCTTTCCTCCATTTTGTGGTCTCAATTTGATGTCTGGGGAATTTGAACGTATGCAGGTAGTAACTCATGGGTGCTCTCTGACCTGACTGCAGACCAAAATCAACCCTCAACTGAGATCCTGCCTACAGCTGGCATGGCTGGTTAGCTTAAAAGTGTTTAAACCAAATATTTGGGGTAATTATAGTATTATAGCAGATTTTAAAGGGTGATTGCCAGTGCTGTCAAAGGGTGAAGCTGACATTTTTTCAGTACCCCTCCTTGCCAAACAGCTTTAAAATTTGAAGGCTATTACTGTATCAGCATAGTTCTTTAGTCTTGAACTGAATTTAAAACATGCTTACTGTTTAGGGTATGCAATACAAAATCCTGATCGCTACTTTCCTGGAATTTCAACCAAAAGGAATGGTACAACATTATATAATCATGTTTTTTAAAAATCAACTTGCAGTTTTACATGGCATCTTGTGTCTGCTCGTGGCAGCCAGAACTGAGCGTTGCCATTGAAAACAGAGAGTCATGGCAGTATATTCACTCCAAAAATACCTTCTGGTTGCAAAAATATTTAACAATGTTAAGACTAAAGAGGAGCGAGAGGAAACTAAAGAAAGACAGGATTGGAAACTGTTCATTGCACTGTCAGATAAAAATT